CAACCAGTTTGACAAGACTGTCAACAAGGAAGAGGGCCGGCAATGGAGGAGGGGCGTACCAAAGAGACCATCCAATCACAAGCAGAACTGGTTTGTTCCACTTTGGAGTAAGCTGATGGAGGAAGAATCAGTTTTGTTGTGTGTTCCCTTGACTGATGAAGCCTTCCGGATCGAAGGCGAAATGTTTCAGCACAAAAAAAAAAGAAACTGTCCAGATGACCTGACTGAAAAATGTTGGATTTTATACTGTGGAGACAGAGGAGGAAGATTACTTCACGGCAGGAAATCTTATCCAACAGATGATTGACCAAAATCTTGAGGCACTTACAGTGGAAGGAGTAGAGATGGCTGGGTGAGCAAGGCTGAGGGTTTTTTCTCCAAGAGCGACAGCCAGGCAATCTGCAGAGGCAAGTGGTGGAAGGCGTATGGGAGCAGCTGAGAACCAAGAGTCACAGGTGAGTTTTATCCTCCAGGGGTTTCTCCAATACTTCAGATTACAGGACAGGATCCTGGGCGTCAAGACTCTGAAAACATGTAGACAAAAAACAAGGTAAGTCTTTTCGTTTCTTAAACACTTTACTGGGCTGGGGGCATATATACCGGCAGGTAGAACAATGCTCCAGCAATGACTGGAGCTCAACTGGAGCCTTAAATAGTCCTGGCATCAATTAGGGAAATGGTCTCCAACTGCGGCTGCTCACCAGCGCCGCCCCTGCCTTCAGGAACCTGGTGGAAAGAGGTTGAAAAAACCCTACAGAACACCCCTCTCAAGAATCGCCTCCTCGCGATCGCTGGCACTTCTCAGGGTGAGCTCTAAAGAAGTTAGTTATTAGACTTGGGTCCAAGATGAAGGATCTGGGGATCCAAGACCGTTCTTCTGGTCCATATCCCTCCCAGTCTACTAAGTACCGGAACCCCCTACCCCTGCGTCGTACGTCCAGGATGCGGCGTACTGAAAATGCAGGGTGATTGTCAATGAGACGGGGAGAGGTTGGCAGGAGGGCATAGAGGGCTTTCTAAAACAGGTTTGATCTGAGAAACATGGAAAGTTGGATGGATACGCATAGAAGCAGGCAGACTTAGCCTGACAGCAGAAGGATTAATGATCCTGACAATAGGAAAAGGCCCAATGAACAGGGGAGCCAACTTCTTGGGATAATCTTTCAGGGTAATGTCTCTGGTGGACAGCCATACCTTTTGGCCGACTTGATAAGATGGGGCCTTGGAACGGTGGCGATCTGCCATCTTCTTGTTTAGTGCCACGGTGCGGAGTAAGTCTGCCTTGGTTTGACGCCAGATGCATCTACAGCGTCTGAAGTGGTGCTGTACCGATGGAGCTCCTGGCTGGGGAAAAGGGGGGGTGTATAACCCAGGGAGGCCTCAAATAGTGATAACCTGGTAGCAGAAGAGGTATGTGTGTTGTGGGCATACTCTACCCAGACCAGGTGTGGAGACCACACAGATGGGTTCTCCTAAATGATGCACCTGAGGGTAGACTCACTCTCCTGGTTACATCTCTCCGATTGGCCATTAGACTGGGGATGATAACCAGAAGTGAGACTAGATGATGATCTGGTACCTGGCGGCAGCTGCATGTTTGTAGGAAGAGCCTGTTGTTGTGGGAGGTGACAGTTGAAGCCATCGCCGCAGGCTGACCGTCCACTCGTGCTCTTGCCTTTTTTTTCTCCAAACGAATGTCTCAGGTGGCACATCACTAAAAGTTCCATGTCTAAATTGTGGTGACAAGCTTTTGTAAATAAATAAATAAGTAAATAAATAAATAATTTATTTTATTTTCAAAACGCAAAACCATATACCAGTAGATATGATTAAATATGTTCAGAGATAAGCAGCAGTGACCAACACAATTATCTACTGGTTTCTCTGTGAAGTATTGTCTAATTGAGTTTAGATACAATTTAAGAAGAATCATATAAAATATTTCTGACCTATCATCCTAACCCAGGGTTCAGCAACCTATTTGATCAAAGAGCCCTTTCTGCCCCTTCATTCATTAAATAAAAAAGAGCCCGGAGCCACGAAACCTGCTACAACTGTGATCAACTGGTGGCCCATGGACCACTTTGAGCTAGTTGGAGGGGGCTT